AAATGTGGAAAAATATTTGAGGTTTGCAAGCAGTAAAAATCAGAGGTGGACAGGATCCGGGGGCCACAGCTTGCCAACCTCAGGTTTGGGGGACCAAATCTAAGCAATATCACGGAGACCCAAGATGCACTACAGGCTTTGTTACTTCACAGGAAATAAAACACCAAAGGGACAGTCAGCTGTGTATGCCTTGGAGTCTGCAACACAAAGCTACAAGATGCAGTGGACAATTTCCTCCAAGGGCAGCAGAAGGGATTACAGCCCAGGTGAGAGCTGCAGACCTGATGCTCTGGGCAGAGACCCCGGGGGCCGTGGAGGCCAGCCAAGCTTTCCATCATGCCAACACTCGGACTCACCATTCATTCCAAAACTTCCCACCACAGAAACACCATTCAGTGACTTTTTCGTTCTTAAAAATAAATAGTAATAAAATCTTCAGGCAGGGAAAAGTGGTATCCATTCTACTGAACAGTAGAAGTTCCTGAAGTTTCCAGGGGTTGAAGATGTTTCTTCTTGTACAATTCTAGGGAGACACACACACACACACACACACTTCTCTTAGCTTTACCCATTTAAAAGAATTTACTGTCATTGGCCTGTCAAGACTCCAAGACCCCTGAAATGCCTGTCTCCCTAGTGCCAATTTGTTCCCTTTCTTTTTAGTGCCAGTCTGCACGCCCAGCAAGGAAGAAGGTTCTGGAGTTGTTGACATTTCCTCATTTATTTACTCATCTGAAGCTGCTATGTCATACAATGTGGTCACCAACTCTGTCTCGCTAGACCAGTCGTGGGTGTTTCTAGAACCTGAGAGCCTCAGGAGCCCCTGAAGGCTGGGAACACTTGGTGTCTGCACCACACAGAGTCCCATCTGCCTAACCTGCCCCTCTTCCCAGGAGGGCCGAGGTCATCCTTGGGGGATACAGACTTAGGAGCTGTGAAGCATCACCTTCTCGTGTGGACAGCACCAGTCCTCCACAATCCCAGAGTTCCCTTATTCCTTCCTGGGAGTGAAAGAGGAACAACTGGGCTGACCTCACCAACATGAAGAAGAGTGAGCCTTGCAGGGAGGGGCCTCCAGCTCCGGCGCCCAATGGCAGAAGGGCCCAGGAGTAAGATGAGCTGTCCATCACCCCGGACAGAGCTTCAGAGGCTGGCTGTCCTGGAGACCATGACACAGGCAGGCCCCAGAAGGTACCCAGGCAGAGCCTCAGGATAAGTGAGCCACTGTTGAAGGCCTGGAGCTTGTGTGGACAGTAGCTTCATCTTCAGATGTCCCCCACGAAGCCAGCAGCTCTATCTCTGCAGAATCTTTCCTTATGGGCTTCTTAGGACATTCCACACTATTCTTGGTTGGCACCCTGCACTGAGGGACTCCAATGCTGTGGCTGGCCACAGGGGCTGGCTTGCTGGTCCTCCATCCACTCCTGTGAGGCATCCCCAGCTTATGGTAAGGGAAGTCTCGTTCCTCCCTTCATGACTGGGACAACAGGTACCCCTCACAGCACCTGCTAAGGACTTCCCATGGCCCCTCAGTGGACTGAAAGCACCTTGAGCATCTGTAGTGGTCACCAAGGATGCTCCTCCATCCCCAAATAACAAAACTCTTAATAAGTCACATTGCCATCTGAAGGGATATGGCGGGTATACATATATATACATGGGAGTGCATTTCCCACATGTGAAGATGCTACTTCTGTATCCTGGCTGGTCCCAAGAGCTGACAGCGGGGCATTCACTCCTACTGCCCATCCTCAGTCCCTACAACCCAACTGAGCCACCGTCCTCAACTCAGGCATTGACCAGGCTCTGGGGGCACAGAGAAGCAAAGTCATGGGTCTTGCAACTAATGAACTCACAGATAGAGCATGAAACTGAAGACAGCAAAGAGGACATCACCACACACCATGGTGATCACTGCACATGACAGGAGCATCTGAGGCCCACCTGGCAATTGGTGCTGTCGGGCTGCTGCTGTGTGGCACGTGCCACCAAGCTCTGCCTTGCTACGAGGCCTTCAGCCCCTCATCCTCACAGAGACAGAAGCATCTGAGACAGTAGCATCAATCTCAGATCAAGATCTGAGGAGAAAGGAAACCATCTTGTCCATCATTGGCCCTGCCCCAGAGACCAGCACAGTGCCCCACCCTGAGCTTCACTATCTGAGGAGGTGGCATTTGAGCCAAGGCCTTGGAGGATGAGCTGAGCCTTACCCAAAGGAGGAGAGAACGGGAGTGAGAAAGTAAGAAATCAGACGCCTGTCCAGGCAAGCAAGGTCTGGGGTGGGGCATGTGCAGAAGTGCACAGGCAGATGTCTCCAGGTGGCAGGAGGAGGTGGTGGGCACCATGGAGAGCTAGCCTGGATTTGCATGTGAAGGGCCCCACATGCCAGGACTTTCTCCTGGAGGCACTGGGGAATTGGCGGGCTTCAGTAAATAAGACATAACAAAGTTATCCAGTTTCATTTTGTTCCAAATGATAACCAGCAGCAGGGGGAACCCAGCACTGAAGGCTTCCTGGGCCAGAGCCAAACACTCCCAAGGTCTTTTCAAACCCAACGCTTGCTCTCTCCCTGAAATCTTATATTTTCTGACAAATTTGCTATTATTTAGTTCCTGTGAAATGCACTTCCATATCAGACCTCCCTCTGACATCCAGGAAAGTGTCACTCGGCTCCTGGTCCCTGCCATCTCGTCAGATGAAGAGTACGGAGGACCTGCCTGGCACGCAGACTCCCCCCTGCAAGACCTGGCGAAGACGCATGGCCGGGCTGACAGCCGCGGAGCGGACCAAGGCAGGCGGCTTCCCTGGCACGCCCAGCACCACCTGGACACGCACCAACGCCCACGTGCTGCACGCCAGGCCTGCAGGTCCCGCACGCGGCGACAGCCCCTCCACTGAAGCCCTTCCAGTTCCAACAGCACCTCCGTGGGCAGCTGGGCTTCTGCCATCCTCTGGGCATCTGATGTGAAGGGCCAACCTGCCCTGTCAACACCTTCCCGCACCCTTCCCACGGCGAGGCGGCCACCTCCGACTGCTGATCTGCTGAGCTGGAGCTTTGGAGAAGAGCGGTGACAATGTCCCCTGGAAGGAGAAACCAGGAAGAGTCCAGAACAGCAAGGAAAAACGAGAAAGGTGAGCCGGCCAAGATTTTAAAAGAGCCATCCATAGCTCTGAGAGGAACCCTACAGCTTCAAGGTGAAAGCCATTTTGTCTAATAAAGGGATGATTATGTAGTATTTATGTGTGGATTTATGGTTAAAAGACAGGAAATCGCCTTCTACTCGGTGGGAACTAAACACATAGCTCCTCTTGGCAAGCAAATGGACAGGAGCAAAACTGATTTCAAAGACACCGAGTGGAATTCAGGGCTCTGCATCCCCATGTAAGCCCTGAGCCCTGCTGCCTACCCCACGGGGTCCAGCTCCAGGACCCAGGCCCAAGCCCCATCCTCCTTTCTACCTCCACTCCCCTCATCCCTGCAGTTCCACCCTGAACCTGCCTGGGCTTTGACTGAATCTGCATTTTGCAAAATGCCTTTGGACCCCAGCCACCCCACCCGTGTCTCATTGCCCAAAAATAAATAAATAAATAAATCATCTTTCCCCTCTTTGTTTTTAGGAGAAAAATCTTAAAAACGAGAGAACAGAAGTCCAAGAATAATTCTCAGGCCACTGGAACTAAAAAGATTTTGTGGATGCCTTAATCCAAATCAAAATGTGGGCAGGCAATACCAATACCTCGTCAGTGCTTTACAAATAAAAAATTCAGCCACACTTCAAATGCTTACAAGACCACAGTACAGGCAACCCTGTTTCTTGTTTTCTGTTTCTTTCTTTTAGCTTTATTTGGTCTTTTTTGTACTAATGAAAATCAGGCACAGGAAGTAATGCTACTCTGTGTTTATGATAAAACCTCGTTAACTCAAAGTTAACTCATTAACTCATGACTTGTGATAATTTTGCCACAATGGCCGAATTTGCCTATGTGCAATATATGATTTTGCAAAGCGTATTAATAGTTTAAATCAAATTTCAGAAAGCTTATTTAACTTCCCCAGACAAATTATCTTTAAGAACATTATTGGTAGATATTTGCATGAAGCAAAAGAAAATAAAGATGTATTTCTGGTTATAGCCCCACAGTCCCTTATCTAGAACGATTGGCTATACAGAGGGGTTTCAGATTGAAAGTTTTTGAGGTTTCGAAGGTTAATAAAGGGCTGAGATCGCATGTTCCCTTACATTAAGTCTAAGGCAGTACTAGAAATCGCAGTGCATGGATCCTGGATGCTAAATAAGTCGAGGCCCGCATGGATAAGTCGAGGCCCACATGGAGCCTTGTCCCCTACAGCCCAGTGTTTCACCGGCTCAGTTCACACCCCGCCAGAGTTTGTCAACAAGTAAGTTATGGAGAGAGCTTCCAATCCCAGAGTTCCCGGTGCCAGCTGGTAGCTCCGGGCTGTGGATCTGTGATGAGTTTGCCCTTCATAAAGGCAGCAGCCCAATGGGTAGAGAATGTGAGTCCTTGCTCCAAGGACCACTTTGATGATGAGAAAACCACGATGATCCACTCTACACCAGAAGCCACCAGACAGACCACCTCGGTGGCCATTTATGCTGCCTCGAACAACTTGGCTCTAAAGGTCACCTTTGTGACCTTGTGAAGCAGAGCAGGGCTGAAGCACCAGCATTCAGACATTGGATGGCCTCCAGAGATGACCAAAACTATGCTGGACAGGGCAGCTCCCAGTGCCTGAAATAGGCCCCACGTTCCACAAATATTTGTCACAGTGGGTGACCACAAACCATGCCCTCTGGTAGCCACAGGCTGCCCACGCCCCCAGAACCACCACAGGTGTCCGTCTGTACACCCGCCTAAGCAGATCTCCACAAGCCACAGTGCAGTCAAAGGAAAACCAGACCAGTCTTCCAGCACATCCCTGGAAAACTTTTTGCTTTGTCTGTTTTTCCAAAAAAAGGCAGATGAAATAGTCATCATACCTGGGCTTCAGAAGTCACTCTTGTTCCACCAAGGAAAGTTTGCAGAGGATTCACACTGCCCACCGCTGGCTGTGAGCAAGGCCATGGAGCGGCTGCTGTCCTTCAAGTAGGCAGTTCTTCTAGTGGTCTATCCACCTGGCAAGCTTCCCAGAAGCCAAAGAGAACTGGGCTAAATGAAAGTGACACCAAATAGCTAATGTTTCTTTCTCTTGAACAGTTTCCTGATTCTCTGAAAAAGAGGTTTGTGGGTTGTTTATCTGTTTATCCTTTCCTTTTGGGTTTCCAACTTTATGTTCTGGACATGCCAGCGAGGAGTCATTTTGTGTGAATCTTAATGTCTTTTTTTTTTTTTAAGCTCTGCAGATATTTTTCAATAACCTGTTCTTAGTAAGTGAGTTTCCCTTTTCAGGTATGTCCTTGTCAAAGACCATTCCTTTAAAATCCTTTGGAAAATATTTACTTTATTGCTTTTTCTTCACTGGCAATATAGTTGAAACCTTAAAATAATTTGTTTAATGTCTGTTTTGAAAGGATCAGAGGTTGCACTAGAAAATTTTCATAAGACAGGAATTCGGAGACTATTTCCCCCTTATTGTCCATGTGTATGTATATACAGCCCTAATTCACCAGTGCAACTGGAGGTCATTATTTCTGAATTTGCACATTAAAAATAACATCTACCCATAAGGGAATATCTTTAAACCACAAATGCCAGAAATAACAATTGTATTAAACTGCATTTCATGAATACATAATAAAGTTCAATTTACCACTATTTATCATGTTACTCAAATTAAATCTATAATGGAAAAGAGATTTAGTTCTGTTTTGAAAATAACAAATTCCTTTATGCCAATTGCACAGGATTTATATTAGCCCCAATGCATTCATGTTGATTTATTTATTTTTTGCTTAATTACTATTGCTTTCTATTGTTGGGATCCTAGGGGACAATTCACATCCTTTCATGTATTTTTTAAAGCTTAAAGAGACACATGCACATATAATACATTAAAATTACTATAATTTCAGTTGTATTTATTTACAAAATCTGAGATTTTTAAAAAATGGCATTGTGACTCCTACCTCCATTCTTGCCCCCTCATAAATCCTCCAAATTATACTTGTATGCTTCACTGGGGCTTTGACAGTTGCCCGAAGTGGCTAAGAAAATCACTGTGGAGGCGGATAGAAGTATTTTTAGAGCTAATATTTGTGCTGTACAGACATTCGTATGCAGAGAAATCAGCCAGAGAATCCAAAATAACACACACACCATTTTCAACTACCTGCGTGTCTTGGAGAGGAAGGAGGAGAATTCTGGAGCCTTGAGTTATCAGGTATTCGCCAAGAACAGGAATCCTGCATGGAGTCCCATAATGACCTTGATAAGGTGCAGCCACTAGTATCCACATGGTCATGCCTGACCCATTGTGTCTCCACATTAGGAAATGGCTCCTCTACCTACCCAACCCCCCAGACCAGGAATCTGGGATATGTCCTCTACAGCTTTCTGTCCCTCTCCTCCTGCAGTCAGTTGGTCACCACATTAGTCACCAGTTCTAACAAAATGCTTGATAATGGAAAGAGAAGCTCCTGTAACTCACAATTCCGGGGATTCAAGGCAAGATGCGGGATCATCCTGGCTCAGGTGAGGGCCTGCTGGTAGTGTCAGGTCGTGGGAGTGTGCGCAGATGGGAGAAATCACTGGGCGAGGCAGGAAGGGAGGGACACGGGCTGAGCTCCAGCTTGATAACAAGAAGCTCTTTTGAGAACTGTCTCAACTCCCCCCCCCCCAGTGGTAACGCCCTCGGGGACCTAAAGACCTCCCTCTAGGCCACATCCACCTCTCAAGGTCCCCACACCACATTTCAGTCCATCCTGCCATCTGAGAGGCCAAGGCTCCATACACTGGAACACTGAGTTCTGGGTACACTGAGGCCTTACCCAACCACAACAGTCCCAGGACGAGAGTTGGGCATTCTACCCATGACATCCTCGCACTCATGTCTTCCCCAAGTGACTCTGGCTCTGCTGGGCTAAGTGCCCAGCCGGCTCCCTTTGAACCCATCCTATAATTGCTTTGTATTTTCATTCTTTTTTTAAAAAAACATTTAATTTTTTCGTTGTGAGTGAACACAATATCTTTATGTGGTGCCGAGGACTGCACCCAGTGCCTCACGCATGCTAGGCAAGCGCTCTACCTGTGAGCCACAACCCCAGCCCCTGTATTTTCATTCTTAAAGGGAAAAAAAATGATTCTGTCACTCCTTGCCTAAAGCCCCTCACCAAGTAGACAAAGAACAAGCCCCTCATCACAGCCAACAAGGTCCTCTGTGGACTTGCTTCTGCTTTGTCACCAGCCTTATCCTCCATTAACTCCTCCACCCAGGTCTTGACAAAGATTGTCTACTTGCCCAAACTACTCAGGCCTTTGGTACCCTCTTCCCAGCTAGGCCCTGACTGTGGGTGCCATGTTTTCCCTGTATTGTCCACTTTGCTCAGGAAGCTGCTATGTCAGTTAACCCAGAGACCTCCCTCTACACCACACCCACCTCTTACCACCCCAGACCACCTCCCATGACCCTCCATGTCTGACCACACCTGATACCTGACCAGGCTCCACTCCTCCACCATCCCCTCCTCCAGGTGCCATCATCTGATCACTGTGGCCTGTCCTCAGTAAGAATCTCACGAGGTCATTTTAGCTGGAGTCCCCCGTACCCCTGATGGTTCCTCCTAGTTATTCTCCATCCACAGTCAACCCCAGCCCTCACTCCTTGGCTCTAAATTCCCACTTTCCCTGGTTGTATTCAGAATTGATCCTGATCACTCTCTTCCACTGCAGTTCCCAATGAAGTGGATCCCACACCTGCCACGATGGAACTGAATCAACTCTGTCTTAGTGTCTTTCACCACTGTCATGAGTAACTTTTTCTCTAAAAGCCTCCCTCCCCATCCTCTGTGCCCCTGGTTCTCGGGTCCACACCCGGCATTTCTCAGGACTTGGTCTGACACCTCCCCAAATCTTTCCTGGTTCCCTCTTGCCCCGAGTAAAACTGATGCTCTTCACCCCACCCACTTCCCATGCACACTTGTAACCGATCCCTGATCAAATGTGCTGCACCTGCGTGTTACATCCCATTCCCGCCCCGTGTGCCCGAGTCTTTGTGGGCAGCAGCCAAGTCTTATTAATCTTCATATCCCTGCACACAGTCAGTCCACAGTGCATGGTGGGTGCTCAGATGATCAAGGAACTTGAATGCATATTCCTTTGGGACTCCAAGGACCCCTCATCCTAAGGTAGGAATCTTTTCCAGTAGGAGCAGGCTAACTGCTGGGGAACAACCTCACCCCCTAAGTGTGACTGATGTCTAATGAACAGTATATCTAAGTCCCAAGTCAAGTGCATTTCCATTGGTGGCCTATAATGACCGCCTTTTCGCTCTGGCATTATCTTGAAAATGTGCAGTAACTATTCAGTACTTATCAGGTGGCAGGTTTATCACCAGGGCAGGGCTCAGAGAATTCTTGAAGAAGCCGCTTCCCAGCAGCTAAGTTCTCCTGGCTCCTCCACATACCAACTGCAGCCGGAAGAGCAGAACTTCCAGTAACACTCACTGCTTCAAGTGAGTCCCTGGGAGGACGGCCATCGCTCCTGACAGGACGCAGGAGCTGCCCAGAGGTCAGAGCACATGAAAGGCCCTGGGGGTCCCCTCCTCAGCTTAGGAAGCTAGGCTCAGAGCACTGGGAAATGGGACTACGCTGAGGAGCGGCCTGAAAGGGGACAGTGGGCTCTCAATGTGGCACCCCGAGTAGTGAAGTCCAAGCTGCAAACACCTGCTGTATAAATAGAAGTGTCCTCGGGGAGGTGACCAAGCCAAGTGTTCTAATCTGGAAATGTGGACACCATCAATATGATACAGAGTTTAGAAACACATGAGACAAGCCACGGAAGAAGAAGAAGAAGAATGAGGAAAGATAACACCGAAGTCATACTCAGATTAGACCGTACCCTGAACCCGATGGAGAAGAAAAATTCTAAACCAAGTATCTCCCACCCCAGGCTCCACGTTTTACCAAAAGGCAAAGAATAAATTACTGCAGATTATATGCATGGTCAGATCAGTTTTTTTAAATCATCATAACTAAATTAGATTTTCCATCCAAATCAAACAAGCAGAAAATCAGGCTCAGTAAGCAAAAACTTATGGAGCACAGAGAATATATATTCAAACTTGCAAAATATAATCTAGAATTTTAAAAAGCACACATGCAAACTCTTCCTATGGTCAGAACTTTCTTATGAGTTTGGCATGAGCCAAGCACCTCGGCTGTGGCCACCACCCCGTTCACTCTTAGCGTGAGTCTCCTCAGCAGGCTGCCTTCCCACTTCCTAGGCGAGGCCACCGCAGGCTAGAGATAGCTGTGACACCAACTAGTGTGTGTCAGGGAGCAGAGCAACGCCACACAATCATGTTTAATCTCTCAGAGCTGTGGCTGAGAAGTGGCATTTGGACAGGATGAAACTTGGCCTTGGCCACGACAGAGATTAGACTGACTCTAGTCTCTCCTGGCCTTATTTTTTTCCTCATTAGTTAGATGTCACATAGGAAATGAAATTATTATAAACATATTTAACTTGTTTAAATAACTTGAAAAACATAACTTACAATCAGTGGATTTCAAAATTCAATAAATCCTCTCACTTATTAGTTACAGAATAGAGTTGCATTTAGCCTAATAAACTTAAAAACATGGCTTTAAGGAATAGTCTTTCTTGGCAAGAATTAAATTGGCCTGCATAATTTACATTGTTTTAAATTTAGAGAGAATTGTGTACTGACTCATGATTACAATACATAAACCACTTCCATGAAATGGTCTGAATTAACCTCCATGCTGTTTATATAAACACACATATCATTGCAAGCACGGCAGTCTACTAGATGGGGATTTAAAAAAAAAAATCAGCAAATGAAGCTCGTAATTTAAAACTTAGCTAAATAAGAGTAGAAGAAAAGTTCAGTATTTCTTTATGTTCTAAATGATAGGAACCCATTGTTTTGTATGTTTTCATATACCAGAAGAAGTTATTAGTGTCCAGAGGTAATGCAAAATAATATCATGCTCCAGTGTAGAGTTATGTTTCTAAATCTCGTGTAATAAAATAAAAGGCAGCTAAACAATAGAAGAAGTCATGACTGCCAAGTAGGTTCATGGATAAATCCAAATGGAGGAGTGGGGCTCTGGGTAGAGCTCTGAATCTTTCTGAATTGATTGCTCAAAGGGTGTTCTGCTGGGGGGGGGTGCGGTGTGACTCAGTGGCACAGAACTTGAACTTGCCCCTCACCTTCCAGGCCCTCAGTCTGATCTCCAGCACTGCAAAAAAAAAAAAAAAAAAAAAAAAAGAAGGAAAAAAATATCCAGTAATAACATTCATGCTAAAGACCATAATCAAGATTTAGGACTATTAGGAAATTTTCACTGGTCCCTTAGGAGCTACATCCCTAACCCCAATTAATAATCATTTTCTATTTAATCATCAAGAATCTACATCAACTCAGATGGAAATATTCAGGATTAAATTTGTTAAAATCTGACAATGAAAAGAGCTTTGAAGAACATCAGGTATGTGAAAGTATCAATTACTACAATTCTAAAAGAGAATACATTATTTTTAAGCAAAACTACTTGCAGCAAAATGAGAATTTTTTTAAAAAACACTATATCGACAAAAATTGAAGGGCACTTTTTAATCACGTCTTATTTAGCAAGGCTATATTGTGCCTTCAAATGGAATTTTTAATACATAAGTTATTTGATTACTCATATACCTCCCCTCAACTACAGACGGGATTCAACAAAAGTATTGTTTGCAGTCACTGATATGCTTGGCCCATAACATTCCAAAAACAACTGGATCAAGACAAAGCGTTTTGGATTTACTGCCAAGTGTGTTTCTCCTTCATCTTCTCCCATCTTAGGAAGCAGTCTGGATCAGGCCAAGCATTCAGGGGTTCTCTCCCTCGCAGCCCAAACTCCAATCCGTTGCCACGCAGGTCCCCAACCTGGGTCCTGAACCTGAACTCCATGGCTCTCACCAGCCCCTCTCCTGGCCTCTACCACTGCAGGAGTCCTCCCTGTCTACCTGACTGCTTGCTCACTCTGTTGCCCCCCATTCTCTTGCTGACCACGTGGATTTGGGGAGAGGTACGTTGGACGTGATTCTGCTTAAAATCCCCTGGGGGATTTTAAGTGAGCTCACTAATCCTGGGTCGACCTCTGGGGACCATCCAGCCACACCGGACCCCTTGATTTCTCCAATACGCCACGCTCATTCCCCCTGCAGCCATGTTCTTGCGTGGGATGTGTCCCTTTTCACCACCCCCAGGACCAGGTAAGAGGCAGGAGGCTGGCCTTGCCATTCCTATGCAGGCTGAACCCTGAGGCTGGAGCATCCTAGCACAGAGCAGATGCTCAGTCAATGCTGGTCAAACGAGTCATTTCTGTGACATTTGATAGCTCTCCTTTTTAGATCAGAACCGCTGCTTTAGAAGCTAGCCATTACACCACCAAGTGCACCCCAAGTCTGGCCC